CACACACACACAAACACACACACACACACACACAACACACACTGACGTGTAGCAGTGAATATTTCGACGTTGTAATGGAAGATTCGATCGATTTTGCACATCCTTTCGATGGAAGTTGCACGAAGCCAGCCGAGGCCTTCGAGACTTACCTGTTGCCATACTCTCTCTCTCTCTCTCTCTCTCTCTCTCTCCCTCCCTCTCTCTCTCTCTCTCTCTCTCTCTCTCTCTCTCTCTCACACACACACACACACACACACACACATGTGTAGTAGTGAACATTCCGATGTTGTAACGGAAAATTCGATCGATTTTGCACATCTTTTCGATGATAGTTGCGCGAAGCCACCTTGAAGACTTACCTGTTGCAGTACTCTCTCTCTCTCTCTCTCTCTCTCTCTCTCTCTCTCTCTCTCTCTCTCTCTCCCTCTCTCKCTCTCTCTCTCTCTGCAGTGAATATTTCATCGTTGTAACGGAAGATTCGATCGATTTTGCACATCTTTTCATTGGACGTTGCGCGAAGCCAGCCGCTGCCTTCAAGACTTACCTGTTGCCGTACTCTCTCTCTCCCCCTCTCGTCCATCTCTCTCTCTCTCTCTCTCTCTCTCTCTCTCTCTCTCTCTCTCTCTCTCTCTCTGTGTAGTGAATATTTCATCATTGTAACGGAAGATTCGATCGATTCTGCACATCTTTTCGTTGGAAGTTGCGCGAAGCCAGCCGCTGCCTTGAAGACTTACCTGTTGCCGTACCCTCTCTCTCTCTCTCTCTCTCTCTCTCTCTCTCTCTCTCTCTCTCTCTCTCTCTCTCTCTCTGTGCAGTGAATATTTCATCGTTGTAACGGAAGATTCGATCGATTTTGCACATCTTTTCGTTGGAAGTTGCGCGAAGCCAGCCGCTGCCTTGGAGACTTACTTGTTGTCGTACTCTCTCTTCTCCCTCTCTCGTCCATCTCTCTCTCTCTCTCTCTCTCTCTCTCTCTCTCTCTCTCTCCCCCTCTCTCTCTCTTTCTTCCTCTCTCTCGCTCTCCCTCTCTCTCTCTCTCTCTCACTATTACACCCATCTCTCCTCCATCTCTCCTCCATCTCTCCTCCATCTCTCCTCCATATCTTCTCCATATCTCCTCCATCTGTCGTCCATCTCTCCATCATCTCTCGTCTACTTCTCCTCCATCTTTCCTACTATTACACCCTCTCTCCTCCATTTCTCCTCCATCTGTCCTCCCTCTCTCCTCCATTTCTCCTCCATATATCTCCTCCCTCTCTCCTCCATATCCTCCATCTCCTCCATTTCTCCTCGATCTCTCTCCATCTCTCGTCTCTCTCTGGAAGCCGGGAGCGCTATTCTGCGTGCAGGTGGAGAGGGGTTGATATTATGGCTCTATCATTGTTGCGTGTAGGTTGTCATGTCGAGCCGCAAGCATGAGGCCAGCCTTGTCAAGCGCCATTTCGAAGTCCTTGGCCCCCCGGGTAAGGATCCTTCAAAGGGGGCAAAGTGGTGGCTCTGCCATTACTGCGATCTAAAATTTTCGGGCAATCTCAATCGCCTGAAGGAACATTTCACGAAAGGGGTTTGCGCAGTTGAGAAATCAACGAAAACGTTGACCGCAGAGGAAATATTGAGAAGGAAGGAAGGATTGCAGCAGGCAAGGATAGACGCGGGCATGCTGAGGGACGGTGCCAATGCCCTACCTGTTGTCACCAGTTTGGTGGCTGATTCTATGGGCGGGGGGTTGGTGGAAGGGGTCGGCGATGCTTGTGGCGAAGCGGCGGGCGATGCTTGTGATGAAGGGGTGGGCGGCAGCGGGCCAGGTATCACGGTGCAACGCACAAGTGCATCTGCTGCACCTGCTGCACGGATGCGACAAATGTTGTTGGAGGAGACCTACAGTGTTGTCACAAAGAACGAGCAGACATCAAGAAGACTATACCGGTGGATGACGTGCACGGACCAACCATTCAACATGGTTGAGAACGAGTTCTTCCTCGACATGGTCAACGCCATACGAGAGGCCCACCCATCGTGGAGACTGCACTCGAGAGAGGCGGCGCGCAATGGCCGATTGAACGGACAACACCAGTGGGCGGTCGAGGACGTGGGAAGGTTGGCGAAGAAGTGGGCTCGCACAGGCTGTATGGTGCAAGTAGATGGGTGGTCTGACCGGCGGGGAAGACTGCACGTAAACGTCATGGTGTCCTCTCCCATCGGCACCGTCTTTTGGAAGTCGGTGTGCGTAGCCGGAAAGGACAAAGACGCCAGTGCGTACTACAAAATACTAACCACTGCGGTTGAGGAGATTGGCCCAAGAAGCGTGGTTGGGGTAATCATGGATAATGCCCGGGTTTGTGTGAAGGTCGAGAAGTTGGTGGAGAAAAAATACCCGTGGATATTCCGGGTGGGTTGCACGGCGCATGCCCTTGACCTCGCATTGGAGGACATGGACAAGCGCATTTCGTGGTTTGCGGAAACTGTGAAGAGGGGGAATGTGTTGGGGAAGTTCGTGATGAACCACGACAAGGTTCGAGCACTCTTCCTGACCAAATCGGGTGGTGTGCAGATTAAGAGGTCGGGCGTCACTCGATTCGCGACCAACATCATCATGTTGCAGTCGCTGTGGGACAGGAGAAACGCCCTGAAATTGACTGTGGCTGCCAGCGGGTGGGTGTCGTCCATAGTGCCGCCCCACTTGCGTTCTCAATTCGAGGAGGTGACGACGACTATCCTGGATGGCAGCTTTTGGGAGCGGGTGGAGAAGGCCTTGAGGACCACGGACCCCATCGTGTGGTGGAGTCGATTCGCAAGCTGGACATCTTGACAGACTTCGAGAAGGCAGAGGTCGAGTCGATCCTCATGGACCGATGGGCGTTCATGACTTCAGAGTTGCACTGTGCAGCAGCCTTCTTGGACCCGGAGTACAGATCGCAGGGCTCCTTCAAAGACACCGAGATCCGAGCCGGGTTCAACATATGGTTGTACACATGGTGCACAAACGAGATGTTCGATGACGTGAGCTGGCAGGTTGACGAGTGGGTGAATTTGAGGGGGGGCTTGCAATCAGAGGAAGCTTTGCGCGCAGCACGCACCAAGACCCCGACGATGTGGTGGGATGCGTTTGGCTCGCGGCTGCATCTTTTGCAGCCCCAAGCAATCAGACTATTGGGCCAAGCAAGCTCTTCCGCCGCATGCGAACGCAGCTGGAGTCTGCATGAGCTCGTTTTCGGCAGGAGGAGGACGAAGATTATGCCCACCCGCCTATCAAAGCTCGTCTACAACAATTGGAACCTGCACCTGCAGTGGAGGCAAGAGCACGGTCGTGGTGTGGATGATGTCCACATTCCATGGGTGGAGGAAATGTCGTATGCCGAGTTGAAGGAGGAGGCAGCGCAATTTTACAATGAATGGGTGAAACGGGTGACGAACAGCACACCGAGTGGCGGGAATGACGCGTCGGAGGAGGAAGACGAGTCGGAGGACAACGGCGACGGCGAGGAAGTGCCTATGGCAAGGAGGTGGTTGCGCAATGGCGAGGTGGACAATGCAATGGACCAGGAGGAGGGCCTTGCGCACATAGAGAAGTACACGAATGACTGGCACTTCAACACTCGACCGGGGAGACAGCTGGAGCGTGCCTGGCGAAGGTTGTCGGGCCATCAGCGCCCAGCACCTGAAGTGCGGTATAACAAGGAGGACCAGGAGCTGGCGCTGCGGGCTCGAGAGACGGGAGATAGGGTGGAGGGTCGAAAGGAAGGCGGAAGCAGCAGGCAACGTAAAGTGCGGCGCGGTGATGAGTGTCATCGTGACGGTAAACGTGCTGCGGAGGAGGTCATTCCACCGCCGAAGAAATGGAAGAGAGGGCAGCCGACCATCAAAGAGGTCGCAGCAAGAAAAGCAGCAATGCGAGCTGAGAAGAGAAAGGCAACGGTGGAGGCATCGAGAAAAAAGAAAACCGTTGCAAAGACAAAAGTAGCAGCAAAAACAAGAAAGAGGGACGACATCATCGACGATGACGGCACGGAAGCATTTTCGTCGTCTTCAAATTCATCAGAGGAAGGGGATGATGAAGATCATGATCCCATCGACGGAGAATCGCGGAGTGCTGAGGAGGGAACTGAGCACGAGGAGGAGGAGGAGGAAGAAGAGGAGGAGGAGGAAGCCGAGGAGGAAGAGGAAGGGGAGGGGGAAGAGGAAGTGGAGGATAAAGAGGAAGGGGTCACAGAGGAAGAGGGTGAGACTTCTGCACGGGGAGGTGCAGAGGATTAGGAAATTTAGGCCGAGTTGATGTTGCTGACTGCAAAGTTCGTAGTTTCGCAGTTTATCTTTTGATGTTTGGTTAAACTTGGAATAAAGTAAGAACTATGAACTACAACTTCTAGAAGTTGTAGTTCATCTTCTCATCATCAGTTAAGTAACTTAACTTGCTTAAGTCTTTAAGTTGGCATTTTGTCCATTCCTCCCGTGTTGCAATGTGCGTGTGTGGTTTTCTGTCATTTGACCATTTGCACAATTTTGTAGTGTTCTGTTTTGCTGGCTATGCAGTGTTTCTGTGTCTGCATCAGGTAACTACTAAGAACTTAACAAGTAATAACAAGTTAACAGGTGAGTGCCCTGCCACACTGTCTGCCATGCCAATGCAATTGCTGTAGTCACGACACCGTCGCTTGTTTCATAAGACGAGTCTTCTGCGTACTTCGAAAGTTCGGAGTCTTCGGATCTACATCTGCAAATAGTTCGCAACTCCGGACTTCCCAGAGGTGCGCACTCCCCCGCAACAATGGCCCCTACCCTGCGAAAAAAAAAAAAAAAAAAAAAAAAAAAAAAGGGGTCCCTACCAACCCGGATGGTGCGGGGAAGTCACCGCTCCAGTCCTGGACCAAACCGCACCGGACGGAAGGGCACCAGACCTCACCCCCGTCCGGTTCTGTCTGGGACCGTCTGGTCCGGCCCGGCTCTGTCCGGTCCAGGGGAGGGTGCCGGACCCGGCAAACCGGACCGGACCGGACGCTCGTCCGGTCCGTACGCTTGCAAGTATGGTTGCAGCGGTTCTGGTGGCCCACGATGATGAGAGATGCCAAGCTGTACGTGGAGACTTGTCAGGTATGTCAGAGAGACAAGCCCCGTACACAGGCCCCTCTTGGGCTCCTCAAGCCCCTTCCGATCCCGGAAAGGCCTGGTGAGAGCCTGTCCATGGACTTCATGGACACCCTGGTCACCAGCAAGAGTGGAATGCGACACATCTTTGTCATTGTGGATAGGTTTAGTAAGTACGCTAGGTTAGTTGCTATGCCGGGGACAACGAAAACCGAGTACGTGATCAGATTGTTCAAGGAGAACTGGGTCAGAGATTTTGGTCTGCCTAAGTCAATCATGAGTGACAGGGATGTCAGATTCACCAGTGAGTTGTGGAAGGCTGCCGCTGCCGAACAGGGAACGCAGTTGCAGATGACTTATGGAATCACCCAGAGGCCAATGGCCAAGCCGCGCAACTGAACTGCGTTGTACAACACCTGCTGCGGCATTACATCAAGCCCAATCAGGTGGACTGGGATGAGAAGCTTGCTCTCATCGCCAGCCTGTACAATAACGATGTACATAGCGCCACCCGGGTGAGCCCAAACAGCTTATTACTGACCTTCAAGCCTAGACTGCCATTAGATTTTCTCCTTCCTGAGAACCGGCCGACTGCTGCACCAGGTACCTTAGAATTCGCTTATCGCTACGAACAGAAAATGCAGCAGGCAGTAGAACAAATGCAAAAGGCACAGGCGGCAATGATAGAATCTCAAAAAAGGCACCGCCGCCCATCTACATTCCAGGTTAGGGACAAAGTCTGGGTTAAGTCCTCAGAACTGGGACAAGAGCACGGGATCTCCCGCAAGCTCATGCCTCAGTGCTTCGGACCATGGGAGGTCTTAGACATCGTCGGGACTGATCCGGATGGACCGTCTTACATCCGGATCTCTGGTCATCTCCGCACTTATCCTGTCTTTCACGCTTCTAAGCTTGCACCTTCCAAGGAAACTGATCAGTTTCCCTCTCGTCGCTCAATGCTGCCCCCAACCATAGAAGGAGAGGTCGACATCGATGACATCGTCGACCATAAGGAATGCCAGTTCCAAGACCGGCAGGCAGGGGACGTCCTCCGAAACCGAAGTTGCAATACCGGTGTTGGGACTGGTGGGTCCCGAATAACATCCTGTCACTCGAGAGACTGTATATAGCCAGATTGTGCACGACAGAGAAATCTGGAGTAAGGAGGTAAGATAAAGAAAAGACAAAGGACTAGGTCATCGGAAGGAACGATGCCCCGAGTTGGGAACCATCGGGGAAAGAGCCAGTGACGACAAGCAAATAAGCGCAAGGACAAGGGCATATGGAACGTAGCATGAGGCCAGGAGGGCCATCGGAATTCAGCAAGACTAAGGCAAAGGGGCCATTGTCCCGGCAAACACAGCATGACAGCGACAAAAGAATGAGGAAGTCGAGAGGTGGACGGCCCCGGAGGCTATGGGACGCTAGAGAATAAGGGCCCGACATGGGGGCCACCTACGACAATTAACGGGAGCCGCGGGATGAAGGTCCCGCGGCCGAAGAAAAATAGCGCACGCAAAGCCCAAGAAAAAGCAAGAGAGAGGGGCCACCATAGGGCGGTGGACGCCCAAAGAACGTGGGACACCCTGAGGAAAGGCACCGGGGACCACGCGAAACTAAGCGAAAATAATGGTATCCAGAAAAAATATGGCGGGGACCACCGACGGGACTAAGTGTCGGGGACCACCGGCGGGACTAAGTACCGGGAACCACCAGCGGGACTAAGTATCGGGGACCGCCAGTGGGACTAAGTGTCGGGGACCACCGACGGGAAAGTAGCGGGGACATATGAAGGTCTCAAGAGGAAACGGCGACACCACATGAAGGAAAAATAATTAAGGCAAGGTGCACCATCAAGATCGAGATCTTGGCGGCCAAAAATATTAGCACCCCTAGTGCAAGCACTAGCGGTAGCAAACGGGAAGGCCGCAAGGAAAAAAAAAAGTAAAGAAACTTGAAGTGGGAGGTATGGGAGCAATCCGAAAAATCTCGGATCAGCCTCCCTCAAGAAAATGGCGCTAAAAGAGACCCCATGAGAAAAATAGGCCTCCGGGAGAAAATCGGAGTAGAAGGGGTCACTATGGGAAAAGAATAGAGGGAGAGGGAAACTCCCATGAGCAATGAGAAGGCCATTATTGCAGTCCGAGATACAACGGACTGCACCTTGGGCATAGGGAGGGCCAAAACTAAGAGGAAGGGCCTAGAAAAGGGCCTTAACGGCCACTTGACACTTGGCATACTAAGAAAAAAGAAAGAAAAGAAAAGAAATGTGGGAGAACAAGACAAAAAGAGTGAGAGGGAGTGAGTGAGTTGGCCGTCAGTAGGGACTGCCACAAGTAGGGACTGGCAGGTCCCTACTGTCCAAGAAAGGAGGAAAAATAAAAGAAAAGAAAAAAAAAAGAAAAAAGAAAAAAAAAAGGCCTTAACGGTAAAAAACGGTCACTTGGGGAGATACATCCGTGACCAGATTCATTCTGGAATATGAAGGTTGCAATAAACTTTGATTTTCTTCGATTTTTGCAGAGAAAATCAAAGCCCCATGCAACCGAAAAATAACGGATTATATGGGGAGGAGAAAACACATGTTTTAGGTGCATCCGGAACCAAAATTGAGTCCGGATGCACTTGGAAGTTGGTCGTTTTTTTTTCTTTCAAGTAAGGAATAGTTGTGGGGCATTGGGGCTAGGGAATTGGCCCCTATTTCAGTCCGAGTTGCAACGGACTGCATGGGGAAGGGAAAACACATGTTCTAGGAGCATCCGGAGCTAATATTGAGCCCGGATGCACTTAGAAATTAAACAATTCATTTTCTTTAAGCATGGGGCAAGTTATGGGGTTGTGGAACTAGGGAAATGCCCATGATTGCAGTCCGAGAAATAACGGACTGCATAAGGATGCATAGGCTAAGAGAAAATGAACCACGGCAAGCCCAAAAGACTAGAAAGAGGTGATTTCGGCATGAGGCAAGTGGAGACGGTAAACGGCAACCGTGAGATTTCAAGGGGGTCCCAAAATAAAAATGGGACATCGTACAGGATGTTGTCGGAGACCAAGTGGGCCCAAATAATAAAAGTCGAAAAACGGGACACGCGTCGGCCGTACTACCGGCGGGACAAGAAAATGGAACTAGTACGGAGGAAAGTGGCGGGGACTTGACATGTCGCAAGGAAACCATGGGCCAACATAAGAAATAATTGCGCAAGCAAACAACACCGTCTAGATCGAGGATCTAGACGGTGGAAAATATTAGCACTACTAGTGCAAGTGGGGGGGCAGGTGGGAGAGTCATGAGAGAAAAGAGAATGAAAAAATGGTGTTGGGAGGGCTGCCCAGCAGTCCGAGATATCTCGGACTAGCTAGGCATGAGAAAATAGAGCCTCAAGAGGCTGAACATGAGAAAAAGGTTGTCCATAGAAAATCGGAGCAAAAGAAACTCAAAATGGGACAAACGGAGCCCCCTAGGAGCATGGGGGTGCTATTATTGTAATATGAGAAATAACGGCCAAGTACCAGCCAGGAATCTGGCCATGAATGAGGCCCCAGGGCCTAGAAAGAGGGTGCACAACTGCTTGACACTTATCACAACTGAAATTAAAGAAAAAAAAAGAAAAAATGAGAGAAAATGGAGGGAGAATGAGACAAAAGGGGAGAAAAGAGTGGAGGAGAATGTGTCGGCCTATTGGAACCTGCACAGTAGGGACTGGCAAGCCCAACTGTTACTTCATCCCTCCTAGAATGAGGGAGGGCAATCCGGAATGCAGAGATCTCCACAAAATATGAATTAAAAAGAAGAAAATAAGAAAAAATGCAAATGGGAGATGGCCATTTTTTTTTGTGGACCATGGATCTGTGATCAGATCCCATGGTAGAGAGGAACTAGTCGTTTTTTGTGGGCCAGCTCAAAACGACTAGCTCCGGAATGAGGTGGCAGCCCAAAATGGAAAGAAACAAAAGAAGGAAAGAGACAAAACTGTTCATTTGGCCCAAAAAGAGAGCCAGATGCACCAAAAATTGAAAAAAGTGGACTTTGGGGCTCAAATTTGAAGCAAGGGCTACTTGGGGGTGACACGGAATATTGTTGGTCTTGGATCTCAGCCAGATCCAAGGTTGAAAATGCACTGTTGCATGAGAAAATATCTCAGCCTACCCAAAATGAGGTAGAAACTGAAAAAATCGAGAAAAAGGCCCAAGTAAAGTTACCCCTTGGGCATTAGGACCCAAGGGGGCAGCATTTTTGAAGTGAAAAGGAGGCCGAAGGAGGCCAAGAGGCAA